TCTCAAACAGATCAACATTAGCTATTCATGAAAGTAGGGGTCATTCATTAAGATGAAAATAATCACTAGAAAGATAAAGACTCGATACAAGACGACTCAACTATACTTTGGATAATAATACTGAAACAAGAAAATATAATAAGAAAATACCCTATATATAAGAAAACGCCTCACTCTTCAGGTCTCATTATCATCCGCAACAGTAGGTTCTTTTGGCTCACTTTGAGTAAGGGAATATACTCGAGGTCGAACATGTCTTGGTTGACCATGGGTTGGAGTTGAAGCTATAGTCTATCTTTTTCTGCACTCCAACAGTCTTCTATGAAGGAGCTCCATCAAATTTATGATCTTCAACACTTTTTTTGGTAAGATGGGGATAATATCTTGTTATAGGATTAGATTGATGACACCAATAACAAGTGTTAGAGCCCATCGAACATTCACCTTTATGTTGTTTTCCGTATTTCTCACAAGTTGCTCTAATACCTTGAGTCATACCTCTGCTAACTCCACCCAAATTATTCCTGGATTTTTTCTCAATGGATCCTTCCTTTTGTGCATCTCTTTATGCTTCTGAGTGAGTTGATAGTCAATCTTCACTCTTCTAGCTAGTTCCACCAATACTGAGCATTCATGGATGCTATATGTGCTAACGACTTTTTGATGGAATCTTTTAATCTCGAAAGAAATCTTTAACATTTTTCTTCCACAGTAACGATCAACTACGGCGCATACCTCGATAGTGCAGTGAAATCTACTTCGTACTACATGATCGTCTTCTGTCCTTGCCTCAGCTTGATGAACTTATCCTGCATCTGCCGTCGAGCAGATAGAGGTATGAAACATTCTTAAAAAAAATCCACTAAATCCTCCCAAACTATCATCGTATTAGTTATGTCCCCTAAGCTGTGCTGAGACTGCCCGCGCCACCACCTTTCGGCTTTTACATCCAACGCAAACATCACCAGTGATACTGTTCTTTTATTCGGACAAGCCATGCTATCTAGTATCTTTTTTTATCATCATAAGCCTGTTCTTTGTTTCAATCGGGTCTTCGGTTCCTTCGAACAAAGGTGGGCATAGATTTTGAAATATCTTCAAATACTTATCGGTAACGACAATATCATTTATGATAGGTTGTGATCCAGACTGCTGAATCAAGTGAGTAATCACCGCCATCATTTGGGAGAGTATATTTGCGTTCACATTAATAATAGGTTGTAATTTTTTCGTTTTCTCTCAGATTTTCTTTTTCTATGATTTAAGGTGTATCACTATGGCTCAAAGGATAATAACTATTACTTTAAGTTAACTTTATTTTTTTTATAATTAATAAAATTTTCTTATAATTATTTTATTGACTCTTTTATCCAGATTTTCTTAATTATTCCTAAACCTTGTTTCTCATACTACGAGGCTTGAAATTAATCAAAACGGAAACGAACGGTCGGACGTAATTAAATATTTTATATTTGTTGACATTCTAACAGATGAAAGAGCCATTACAAATTAAATTAAATTAATACAAGTAAAAATTACCTCGGTGATGATTGTCCGCTTCTTCTATAAATATTTTTTTGTCTATCGCTTATCTTTTAATAATTTAATTAAACATGCAAAGTTAGTAAAAACAACTGTGAAGATTTATACTCTAAATGACAACAATACAAGAAAAAGAAAAAAAAATAATATACATGTTAGTTAAGTTTATCAATATAAACATGCAATTCAAATGAGTCTATATCATTATCATATCAATATCATTTCATATTTATACAACTGTCATAGGAGGCACCATCTAAAAATTATGTCAATTAAGACACATTAATATCAATATCCTTTTTCATTTACATGCACGGGCATATTAATGTTATCTCACTAATACCATTAAGTGATGCCCCATCATAACCAATCATGCACATACAAACAATCATCATAAACATATGTATTCATCACATTCAATTCAACATACTATGTGAAACATACATTAAATGTATGAGTAAGCAGATACACCATTCATAATGATATTACCAATAAAAAAATAACATCTCAATCAAAATAAAACACACAAATATTATCAATTGCAAACATATTTGAGAATAAACTATTACTATTGTTTAAAAGTATAAGTGCTCACCTCGATAACATTTAATTTGCTAACATTTTCTCTGACGTCAACTATTCTAAAGTGGAAGCCTGACATAAACATAATATTCATATTAGAAAACTTAAAAAATCTACACAAAAATTTCTTCCCTTCTTTTGTTCGAACACCTCTGCACACAAGTTCTGGATCGAGAGCTCAACTTCATTTCCCTCCTGTGCGAACGCATGAATGCAACCGTTATTCCTCCTCTTCACGATTCTTCTTCCTCTCTTCTTCTTCTTTGATGGTTTCCTAGGGCACAGTTGTTGCCCTTACTCGCAGACGCACGCTCGCCCTTTACTATCTACGAACCGACGCCGAGAACTCCCGTCTCCCCTCTGCTTGGTGATGTTCTCTCCCACACAAGATCGCGACGTCTCTTCTTTTATCTATGTAGGTAAGTAATCTCATCCCATCGCGTGTTTTTATAGAGTGAACTCTCCTACATGGCGTCTGTCCTCTTGCCTCCTCTCCATATGTTTGATTCATTTGTCCTTTTAACTATCGACTCCTCTCTTTGCCTCTTTTATGTTCATTTAGCCGACATCTCTTTCCC